AGCCAGGACCATGAGCCAGGACCATGAGCAGAACACTCTCAGCCACAGTGACAGGCTGAAGATGGTGCGTGTAATTGACAGTGTTTCTATGCGCTGTGATGGATGGCCTGATTAGGGACCTGGCACTGCAGCTGATCACAGATGGCAAATTAAACTGTGGACAGAGGCCTCCAGACCCCCAAAGCTATACCCCCTACCCCCCCATGCCCGTAACATGCTAACCTCTCATCCTCAATGATAAATGATGGGGTTCACTGTTTATTTAGAGTCACACTTGGCTAAACACAGCATAGCCAAACATACACGTCGACATGTGGGGTGACTATCTTATATTTATATTATCTTACTTTAATATTAATAAGTTTAGTATTTTCACTATTTATTGTCTGCATCAAATATATTTACAACAGTCATGGTGTGTGCGTGTGTGTGTGAGTGTGTGTGTGTGTGTGAGTTTGTTTTGTGTGAGTATTGTTTATTGTTGCTTTTTGTCCTTTGTCTTTATTGTTTACTCTATTGTATTGCATTGTATCTGTCACCTCTGTTACCTTTTTGAGGACCCCCTCGAAAACGAGATGTTTCATCTCTAGGGGCTTATCCTCCAAATAAATAAATAAATAAATATATGAAGCTGTTTGTTTTGTCCTGCTGCCTTAGGTTAAGACCCCATGAAAAAGCGGTTCATCTCAAGGGGCTATAATTAAGAATAAGTAAATAGTTCTAAATGTGATATTATCCCAAAAACAGTTATGGTGTCCTTTTCATTCTATGTTTTTAACTTGATTGTCTGGTTTTGCCACTGTTTAGTGCGTGAATGTCTACTTTATACTGTAGACTATTGGGCGGCACGGTGGCTGAGTGGTTAGCACTCTCGCTTCTCAGCTAGAAGGTCTTGGGTTCGAATCCCGGTCGGAACAGGGCCTTTCTGAGTGGAGTTTGCATGTTCTCCCCGTGTCTGCGTAGGTTTCCTCCGGGTACTCCGGTTTCCCCTACCACTAAAAACATGTACAATCTCTGTGTGGAGTGAGAGACTAAAGCCCACAATTGTAAACCGATTTGACTCTGGTCTGAAAAAGGCGCTATATAAATAAACATTACTTACTTATTTACTTATAGTTTCAGGTTAAATGTTGGAAGAAAATGTTTAAATAATTGTGCTTGATTCTATACAATTGGAACTATTCAATTCCATATTCAGTTCTGATATCTCTATTAAAAAAACATATTATTATTTGATTGTCTTGATATATGGATCAATCTTCACAATTCCAACCATTTTTGACTCATTTTAGGTCATTTTTGTTTTCACTATTTTGTCTTGCTTTGAGTCTGGCTGAGTTCAGGTTTATATATTGGTAGTAGTTCAAGATTTGTACAAGTTTGGAATTTTCTTTTCACACCGATCACTGTTTGTTGTTAAATCTTTGGTATCGACCGTACTGTATCTTTTTTATATTAGAAAAACCATGTCCATTAACACCGCACGTTTAGTAAAAACAGCAAACAGCAAAGCCATAACATTTCAAAAACACAAACTCTGAATTACACTTACATTTAACCACTATACATCACATATTTTCAAATCTATCTAAAGCGGTAACAGTTTTCCCAGAACCAGTCTATAGATACACCGTTCTACAGCACTCTGAGAGCTCTTAACCAGCCCCTGCGTCGCTAATGCCCGTCGACCGCAGATGTAGCCTCCTCCTCGACAAATCACCAGGGCCTGCCATCAGGAACATTACAATCCCGTCGAACATCGGGGCTACATATGTACTCGCAAAAGGAACACAAGTTTTCTCTGGTCGCTGATGGCTAAGGCCTGGGCGTTGAAAGGCTCTAGGGCACCGTGAGGGGCTAAGTACTCGCGGGCAGAGAAAGTAGGCCTGCTTCCTAATGCGCACCTAATCAAGCTTTGATGCGTCCCCTCGCCTCGTAGCTTTGTGCATTTGGATTTTTATTTCCATTCCATTGCTTCCTCTTTCTCGAGGAGCTCTGCCTGTTCTTCCAATTACCCCCACGCATGTCTTTGTTTTATTTCACCTGAATGCACCTCCTGCGTTTCATTTTGGCAAGGGCTCTAGTGTGTACTGTCTTCTCTGTCTGGTACACACTGGGGTAGCCTTGTCGTACCACACCATAGCACACATTTTATTTCATTCTAAGGTCTGGATTTGCTCCATTGACTCCGTTAACAGGTGGGAGTGGTTAACTCCTTTTGCAGATTGAAACCATTGGATCTGAGTTTACCGTGACGTATGTAATGTGCCTGAGTGAGTCGTTAGCATTTAGCCTAGCTTTAGCCATCTCCTTTGCCGCTAACGAAGCCCGTGGGGAGTAGCACCACAATCTTTGCAGTGATTACATTTGCTAAACATTCCTCTTGCTCCGGCTTCAATTTCCCAATAGAACCAGAACAGATTACTTTACTATCACATTCTTCGACATTGCCAAACTACAACCTGCTCGTTCGCCGCAAACTCTTGACGTCACCCATAACTAACTACAACACCCGCCTCCAGCGCTCTCTGATTGGTCGGATGGGATTCAACCGATTGTAATCGCAAACACAGGGACCAGACCCAGACGTTACATGCAGGAAATGATGATTGACCAGAGTGTACGGATGGATAGGCCCGGGCTAACGCTGGGGTAGCCTTGCACAGTTTTTCCAATGTGGTTTTATCTTGTAGCAATGACATCTTCAGTCAAATTTTTCTTTATGTGACCCTGGCTCTTCGTTTGCCAAAATACTTGCCTCTTATTTTGCCATAATTTTATACTTCTTTATTATTAATGTAATGTTCTCGATCTGGTTCTTTGACGCTAGATTTAGATACACTTTTATTTGAATTACTATAGAGTTATTGTTCAGTTATCTTGTGCTGTGTGCTCCTCAGTCCAACTGTTCTGTAACTTGTGATGCAACACTGACATTTCTCCCCTGTGTGACCAATAAAGGATCAATAAAGGGCGATGAATTATCTTTTGATTCATCATTCCAGTTTATTGCCAACAGAAGCAGTGTATCATTTTCCACATGGGCTGACAGATTTAGCTGTTTTTTTGGTTTTCCATTTCCCCAAACATCAGGTTCATGGCTGTATTCTTTATTCTCTCTCTGTACAAGTTGCTCCTGCCTTTTCCCCGCAATTATTCTCTTATCTCGCTTGGATGCTTCCCTTTTAATTCTCCTCCCCAACATCCCTGTACCTCGGTCTAAAAGGCCTCTTCTGTTGGCAGCAAACGGAAAAAGCTGTATTAACATTTCTCCACTAATGCTTTTTACCTGTGTATGTACAAGCTTTGGCTCGCCTCGCCGCTAAAAAGTCCCGACGCTCCAGTGGGTCGGAAAACGTTACGTGCAGTCCGAGGAGCAAGCGCAGGATGCAGATGGGAGGCAGGAGCGCTGTGTCTGAGGCTTTCCGCGAGTGCCCTTTTGTAAATGCCACAGACAAGGATGTGTCGGAGTGAAGCGCCACCTCTATCTCCATCTACATGCCTGACCAAGCGCCGCGCCGCTCCGTGTCAAGCGCTGAACTCTCGCTGAAATGGGCTTTGTAATCCAATGATATCTTGTCACCTCAGATCTGCCCCTCGTAATGTGAAGTGTGGTGTTTTTCTTATAGGAATGGCAGGGGGAGGATGTATTAGGCTAGCGGCTTCGATTTGCAGCGGGCGAGGCATGGGGGTGATGGATCTCGCGGCAGAGGAAATGCCAGGCTTTTTGGTCGTGCGGGAATCGTGGAGGGTATAAATCTGTCAATACAGTTAAAACATTATGTATAGTACTTGAATAGATATGTTGTCTAAAATTTAGGGTACCTCAATTTTTATGTGATGGGTTCTGTTTGTGTCAACGGTCTCGGGAAAGTTCAACAAAGTAATGAAATAATTAAGTATGCATTTGTACTACTTGAAATAAATAGTTCGGTGAGTTAATTATTAAGTGAATCGGGCCGTCTCTTATTTAATTTTTCTGTCTAAAAAGTAGATCTAAAGTTGAGACTTGGGCCTACAAATACTGTGATACTGTTGAGAGCGAGGAACTAGTTACATGGATTTTATCTGGTTTAAAAGTTAGGCAGTCCATTTTTAAGGTATTTTTGTTATGTTTTAGTGAGATGGATAGTTTGAAGTGAAAAATATTGATTGATAATGACTGAGACAGAGTGGCTGGGCTTCCATTGGGTCACCATCATCTGTTTTGCAGTTGTCAGGCCTGCCAGGAGAACCTTAACTTCAGGTTTGTGTAAATTTACTCTTGAGAAGTCATGAAGGAATAAGGAGCAGAACAGGGATTTTCACAGGACCAAGGACAGGACCAACTATTGGCTTTCACCAGTACAACAGTCCTTTGGTATTCCCGCACCTTATAATGACCTGTACCAACAGAGATAGTATCACATACAATCTAGAGATTCAGACCAAGCAAAACTTTGGCATCACACACTTAATACATTTTCTTTGCTTTGGTAATACATTGTTGACATCTGTTGAATTACAGGTCCAGTCTGTAAACAACTCAAAGTGTTTGAAATGTCCCCACTGTGGTACATACAGAAGAATATTGCTGTACACAACAGAGTAAACGAAAACAAGACAAATGTGTTTTATTTTGCAATATACAGTAGTTCAGTTGGGTGAAACATTGGGATAGCAGCATTTAAACTGCCCAGCCTAATCTGCGACTGGTTTGACATGAGGAGCTTAAAGGTGAACAAGGATACACAATGTTGGACTAAACAAGGGAAAAAACTGGGAGAACACGGCCAAAAGTGAAACGCCTTATTATCTTCACCCTACACTTCCTGACATGAAAACGGATTATACATTACTTTGACTTTCCCACCCACTCTTAACCACAAAGACATTTTTCTTGTTGGTTACATTCAGCGCTTGCCCACTGCCCTTTGTGTGTGTTGTCATTGCCGCGATGGAAGTGTAGGTTTATCCAAATACTTGCTGTTGTGTCTGGCTTTGCACACATACGCTCAGTGATGCAGGCGGGCGATAGGGTCCAAAGCCTGTGTCTTAAGTGGGCCGTGTGGGATCCCGGGCTGCCGCAAGCTGCTTACGACCACTACGTCCTCAGAAGAAATGCAGGATTTGTCCGTGAGTTAAGTCGCTCCACTCCTCTGCTCTCATCCGACAACTTTGTTTTTTGGTACATTTTGGCAAAGTTTGTGTGTCTTCTTTCGTAAAGTGTGCATCCCTCTTTGTCATTGTGTGTAGCGTGTAATTATGTATGTGTGTTAAGGGTAGGGTAGTATTTAAAGATGCAGTCAGTGAGTTTTTCCAGACGTATTTTTCTTTATTATTGTCGGAAAACGTCCCTAAACCCTAAAAGTATCAAGTAATCGCGTGTTTTCAAATAGAATTGACCAGATGTCTATAGTCTCCAAAATGTATTAAAACCAATGGAAAAATTAACCAATGGGATTCGTTCATCCCCAACAAACCAATGGGATGTGTTTACCCCCTTCACCCTCTTCCTGTTTCCCGCGAGTGCACCGGAGTTATCGGATTTTCTAAAACTTAAAATGGCTTAACAGAAAATTCCAATTTCACGTTTGCTTCACTCTCTCTGTTGGGACAAAGAAAATAAAATGCTGGATGTTTTGTTTGGTGGGGAGGGGAGGGGGGAGTGGTTTGGTGGAGAGGGAGGGGAGGGGGAGGGGGGGGGGGGGGGGGGGGGGGGGGGGGGGGGGGGGGGGGGGGGGGGGGGGGGGGGGGGGGGGGGGGGGGGGGGGGGGGGGGGGGGGGGGGGGGGGGGGGGGGGGGGGGGGGGGGGGGGGGGGGGGGGGGGGGGGGGGGGGGGGGGGGGGGGGGGGGGGGGGGGGGGGGGGGGGGGGGGGGGGGGGGGGGGGGGGGGGGGGGGGGGGGGGGGGGGGGGGGGGGGGGGGGGGGGGGGGGGGGGGGGGGGGGGGGGGGGGGGGGGGGGGGGGGGGGGGGGGGGGGGGGGGGGGGGGGGGGGGGGGGGGGGGGGGGGGGGGGGGGGGGGGGGGGGGGGGGGGGGGGGGGGGGGGGGGGGGGGGGGGGGGGGGGGGGGGGGGGGGGGGGGGGGGGGGGGGGGGGGGGGGGGGGGGGGGGGGGGGGGGGGGGGGGGGGGGGGGGGGGGGGGGGGGGGGGGGGGGGGGGGGGGGGGGGGGGGGGGGGGGGGGGGGGGGGGGGGGGGGGGGGGGGGGGGGGGGGGGGGGGGGGGGGGGGGGGGGGGGGGGGGGGGGGGGGGGGGGGGGGGGGGGGGGGGGGGGGGGGGGGGGGGGGGGGGGGGGGGGGGGGGGGGGGGGGGGGGGGGGGGGGGGGGGGGGGGGGGGGGGGGGGGGGGGGGGGGGGGGGGGGGGGGGGGGGGGGGGGGGGGGGGGGGGGGGGGGGGGGGGGGGGGGGGGGGGGGGGGGGGGGGGGGGGGGGGGGGGGGGGGGGGGGGGGGGGGGGGGGGGGGGGGGGGGGGGGGGGGGGGGGGGGGGGGGGGGGGGGGGGGGGGGGGGGGGGGGGGGGGGGGGGGGGGGGGGGGGGGGGGGGGGGGGGGGGGGGGGGGGGGGGGGGGGGGGGGGGGGGGGGGGGGGGGGGGGGGGGGGGGGGGGGGGGGGGGGGGGGGGGGGGGGGGGGGGGGGGGGGGGGGGGGGGGGGGGGGGGGGGGGGGGGGGGGGGGGGGGGGGGGGGGGGGGGGGGGGGGGGGGGGGGGGGGGGGGGGGGGGGGGGGGGGGGGGGGGGGGGGGGGGGGGGGGGGGGGGGGGGGGGGGGGGGGGGGGGGGGGGGGGGGGGGGGGGGGGGGGGGGGGGGGGGGGGGGGGGGGGGGGGGGGGGGGGGGGGGGGGGGGGGGGGGGGGGGGGGGGGGGGGGGGGGGGGGGGGGGGGGGGGGGGGGGGGGGGGGGGGGGGGGGGGGGGGGGGGGGGGGGGGGGGGGGGGGGGGGGGGGGGGGGGGGGGGGGGGGGGGGGGGGGGGGGGGGGGGGGGGGGGGGGGGGGGGGGGGGGGGGGGGGGGGGGGGGGGGGGGGGGGGGGGGGGGGGGGGGGGGGGGGGGGGGGGGGGGGGGGGGGGGGGGGGGGGGGGGGGGGGGGGGGGGGGGGGGGGGGGGGGGGGGGGGGGGGGGGGGGGGGGGGGGGGGGGGGGGGGGGGGGGGGGGGGGGGGGGGGGGGGGGGGGGGGGGGGGGGGGGGGGGGGGGGGGGGGGGGGGGGGGGGGGGGGGGGGGGGGGGGGGGGGGGGGGGGGGGGGGGGGGGGGGGGGGGGGGGGGGGGGGGGGGGGGGGGGGGGGGGGGGGGGGGGGGGGGGGGGGGGGGGGGGGGGGGGGGGGGGGGGGGGGGGGGGGGGGGGGGGGGGGGGGGGGGGGGGGGGGGGGGGGGGGGGGGGGGGGGGGGGGGGGGGGGGGGGGGGGGGGGGGGGGGGGGGGGGGGGGGGGGGGGGGGGGGGGGGGGGGGGGGGGGGGGGGGGGGGGGGGGGGGGGGGGGGGGGGGGGGGGGGGGGGGGGGGGGGGGGGGGGGGGGGGGGGGGGGGGGGGGGGGGGGGGGGGGGGGGGGGGGGGGGGGGGGGGGGGGGGGGGGGGGGGGGGGGGGGGGGGTGGTGGAGAGGGGAGGGGGGGGGTGGTTTGGTGGAGAGGGAGGGGAGGGGGGAGTGGTTTGGTGGAGAGGGAGGGGAGGGGGGAGTGGTTTGGTGGAGAGGGAGGGGAGGGGAGGGGGGAGTGGTTTGGTGGTGAGAGGGGGGAGGGGAGGGGGGAGTAGTTTGATGGAGAGGGGAGGGGGGAGTGGTTTGGTGGAGAGGGAGGGGAGGGGGGAGTGGTTTGGTGGAGAGGGAGGGGGAGGGGGGAGTGGTTTGATGGAGAGGGAGGGGGAGGGGGGAGTAGTTTGATGGAGAGGGAGGGGAGGGGGGAGTAGTTTGGTGAAGAGGGGATGGGGAGGGGGGAGTGGTTTGGTGGAGAGGGAGGGGAGGGGGGAGTGGTTTCCAGTTGGTGCTACGGCTAAGCTAACAAAATTGCTTGCTGCACCTTTGACTTGGATGCTTTTTTTGTGGTGTCTATGTCTGAAAGGCTTTATACTTGTGTAAACGTGACATGGTGTGGAGACGAAAGACATCTTATACATTCATTTTACGACAATTCTTTTTCTATTTCTGATTACAAGATTTGCAACAAGCAGAAAACAAGGTTTGAATATTATCACATGGATTACATTTGTGTCAGTCATAGTGATGAATGATATGTTCGGGAAACCAATAGTGACTTAACAGCAGATTACTGATATTCTTACACATTTAACTGCTAGTTTAAGGTGTAGAATCGGACAGGCTCAAATAAGCATTGTAGTACTTTTTTGGTTGCAATTTAGTATACTATATGCTTTACCTATACCTTTGTTGAAGTGATGATTAATATAAAACCACTTCATGTATGTAGGCATGTGTGTGTGTGCTTGTGTTTGTATAAAAGTTGAAGAAAAGTTTACTGCAGCCCTTTTACTTCTGTTTTATTTCACATACTCTCTTACAGTTTCATTGTTCAGTGCCATAAACAAGGGGTTTCAGATTCCTAAGCTAGATTCCAATTTGAAACATGCAAAGTTTGTATGTTTTGAACTAAAGTGCATGTCCTTCTCTAAAGTACATCTACTCTTGGTTAGGATCTCTCCAGGCTTGTCCGGATGTTTCAGTGGATTACGCATAGCCTCCCACCTGCCTCTGCTGTATATATTCATATTTGGAGCGAACAGACAGGCGCTATATCAGACCTTAAACGTTGGTTATTTTTTGCTTTTGGCCCAGATGGATCTTTATACACAGCTCTTCAGTCTTTTTTTCGACACTTTCTTTTGGACTTTCATCTTGTAGCTCCATGGAATTGATTTCCAGCTGCCTGTCTGCTGCTTTTGTGAATACGTTCGAAACCGACAAGAGGCGAAAAGGAGAGGTAGAAAGGCCCTATTTTCTCTCTTCAAGAGGCTTTTTTGCTAACCCCAGTCAGTTTGGGAAGAGTACAGATAGAATTTGTGGGCAGAGGAGCATCAGGTTGGGTCCAGCCGCTTCAGAAGGAGAATGCCAAGTGAGACGGATGAACTTAGACCTCTACAATCAATTCAACAGCAGAAAGCGTACGTTGAACCTGCAGCGCACTAAATGGTAATACACCTGTGGAGACCTGGCCTCTGACATTGGGGGAAAATAGCAGCATGCAGTGGGAGTTATAAACATCTTTTGTCAGCCCATCCAAAGTTTCCTCTTTTATCTAGTGCGGGCTTAGTACTTCAGGGGCCATACCTGCATTTGGGGTTGGACTTCTGAAAAACTACAAAGCCACTTTGCCGTTAGGAGTTGGAATTAGCTGACGCTGTCTTTTTCCTTCTTTCTTTACATCTCTCTGTGCCTCAGTCAGCTATTTGGCAGAATACCCATCAAATGCATGTGTTTTGTCAATGTTATGAAGCTCAAAAGGCCTGTTATTTATTTATAAGATAAAAGGAGTGAGGGATGACATTAGTTTGTGCTTCTCCAAATAAAACGCTAAGTTTTCTTTCAGCCGTGTGTGTGTGTCTGTAAAATATGTGTTTTTTTGACGTGATGGGGGACATGACTTCCACCTCCAAACAGGGCTTTTCTGTGTGGAGTTTGCATGTTCTCCTCTCACCCTAACCCTACCACCATAGTTCAGGGAATGAGTGTGTTTATGAGTGCGAATGTGAGACAAGAGACGGAGATTAGCCTGAAATCTGGTGTATACTGCTGTTCATTAATCCACACTGTCCCACTCAGATGAACAAAAAATAACACATTAAAAGAAAATAGAAAGAATCCAGACCCCACGTGAAAATATAAGTCAACAGTTGCTTGAATTAGGTTAAAATAGTGTATGTTTTTCTTCTTTTAGTGCTAAAAAAGAGACACACCAATTTTCACTTAGAATAAGAGAATACATTGCTACCTGCCTTCAAGCAAGATTTTTGTTCTTGACTCATTGGCAAAGCTCGGTTTAAAAAAATCAGCATTATCTTGAATCAAAACTACTTAATCCAGCTTTAACAACTTTGTGTGTTCTCAGTATTTGCAGTGGACTAATAACCGTGGATCCTTTTCTTGTCTTACGTCCCATTTTCTCTCATTACGTCACCAGCTTTGTGTAATATCTAAGAACTCTGCATGATAATAATGAGATAATGACCAATCAAATGTGACCATAGTTTGCTTATAAGAGCCTCTTTAAATCGTGAGCCAAGTTCTGCAACGGTCCGACCACCTCAAACCTCTCTGAGCCGTGTTTATTGTTCATTCTGAAGTTGAGTTGAGGACAGCCCTGGCCTCTGCTCCGCTCGATCAGTGAGTGTGAACGACCATTAAAGGGCCTGAACGAAGGCGGTTTAAGGACTCCTCGGACTAAATCAATAACGGCTGCGGGCTAAAAGAGCAAGAAAACAGAACTAATACCAGAGTGGCCCATGTGTGTTCTATCACCTGTAATGAAGACATGGCAGCTGCATGGACGGCAGAGCAAGAACTGGAAGAGTTTGGTTTTAAGATAATAAGCAACAAAAGATTATGTGAACAGAGGCGAGATAGTTATTTTAGTGATTAATGTGTTGTATTTGTTTATCTAAATGTTGTTACCTTAGAATGAGTAAAAACAAATGTGGCGTAAACATGACAATTGTAGTAGCCTGGGTCAAAAACTGAAATTTGGGATACTTGATTTTCATAGCACTTAAAATGGAACTATGGATTAAACTTAGACTTAGACAATTAAAAATAATAACGTTAAAGTAACAATCAAATAATAATAATAATAATAAGATAATAGTAAATGTGAGATGAGAATAATCTGGATAGAAGTACTCAGGAATATACATATGTGAATATGTAAATATTTACAGTGGAAAATACAGAGAAAATAGGATAGTACACTTTTGTTTACATACAATATATACAAGGACAAAGCAGACTAGTTCTCACTCTAAAATGGTTTGGTGGTTTTCAACAGTGGGGGAGGGTCCCGGCTCAAAAGTGGCCAAAATGACGTGCACTGACATGCTGCAGTACCACCCCGGGCCGATGGGGGTGGACCCAGAATAAGAATTAGCCAATGCTAACATATAGCGTTGGCAGACCTCTCAAAAAAGTCTTTACAGGATGGTCCAAAAGTTGTCTCTTGGCCCAAAGCTCCGTTCCACATGTGTGTCAATGCTGAGGGGGGTGTTTTGGTCCACTCTAGTTTACTTGATGTGAATTTTTGAAGTCTCTTGTTCAAATGAATGGAGCTGCGCCGGCTGACGCATGCGCAGATGCGGTTTTTCACAATATTCTTGTGGGCGGGACCACTCACGGCCATTTTGGATTGCTCCATGAAAGCACTTTTCATGGCCAACTCCTATGAACGGCGGAGATAGGCGTGACTCTGTCCGTTAATATATACAGTCTATGGTTTTCATTTTTGGCCTCACTCATAAGATTTATAGGAGGATTTTTTCTAAATATTAGGAAAGAACCACCCACAAAACTCTCTGGTCTTATTGGACGAGCACGTATCACCAGAATGATTGACAGTTAGAAGGACCAATAGTCCACCAGGAAGTAGAAAATCCTCATATATACCTTTTAAGATCAGCTTTTTCTGACAGAAGTGACAACTCAAAGAATGTGTAACTTGTTCAATCATTTTTTTGCATTCGGAAAAAAATAAATGCATCAAACAATAAATCTGCAAAGGTTTCATCTTGATAAAAGCATTTATGTATCTGTTTGTTTCCACTGTACTGATGCAGGCACTTGTTTAAAACCAGAATGACAGTTTGAACCACAAAAAGCCTTATTTTGCAGTGTTTTATTGAAAGCATGTGTGAGTGACAGGCTGAGGACAGAAGTACAGCGACCGTGTTAATAAGAGCCATTAGAAGTGACATTTAATAACACTTTTAAGGCTAACCCCGACTTTGTAAGAGTCTTTCCTCACCGCCATTTGCATTAACATTATATCAAGGAACATCTCTGATAATGGACTCAAAGAGAAGGACAAAAACACATCTGTGTGTAAGATGGAGGCGTGAACATTAGAGAACGTTATGTCCTGGACGAGGATTTAATGTAGAAAAATGTTCACAAAGTTTGACATCCTCTTCGTCACTGTATAGTCAGAAAATGAACGGATGAAAGATGAGAATGACATAATTATGAACCTTCTGTCTTCACTGCAAAAAATACACCAAAGTAATTGAAAATGTGTTGAATTTTAAATAATTGTTGTCAATGGGACGAGCAAAAATAACTCTTCATTCTAAAAACTTGCTTGTTTTAGGACAAAGTCAACACACCATATACTTCGTTTTTTGCTTAATACTATATATAATTCAAGTATGTTTAACAGGTATATGTTTTTGCGAGGGGATTTTGCCACAGTGTTGTGAAGGGGTTTAGTGTGTTCTGGACAGTGTTGGGCACGTTACTTTGAAAAAGTAATTAGTTATAGTTACTAGTTACTTCTCCCAAAAAGTAACTGAGTTACTAACGGAGTTACTCCACTATAAAAGTAACTAGTTACCAGTAAAAGTAACTATTGCGTTACTTTTTCGTTTTGTTCTGGAACATAATGTGCACCCGACGTGCGCATTTTTACCTTTAACAGTGCCAATATTTCCATCTAGAAAAGGCTGTTTTGCTGCTGAAGTCCTGTTCACTCTTCATCTCTCACTGTGCTGTAAAGCCCGCCACTGTGAATGTGGA